CGATATTAGGCTCATGGGTAGGTCACACACAATAGTCTAAGTAAGAAGTAGGGTAAAAGATGTCGTTAAAGAGTTAATGATTTTTTTGGATATAAGGATTAATGGGCTTTAATGTGTTAAGGTCTAATAGCTCTTAGTACATTAAATTAAATTGTTAATTTAATTTAGTAGTCTATTATAATAGGTTGGGTTTAATTAAAAATAAATTATTAATTTAATTTAATAAGTCCATTACAGTAATGGGCTAGTACTAATTAAATTAAATTAAATTATTGATTTAATTTAATAATTTTGTACGTCCAAAATTAATATTATGGTTAGACAAAATTATCCAAAGTTAGCTAGCACTTACTAAGGCTAATTAAGTCTATTAAAGATTTTGGGAAATATTTTAAATGGTTTAAAACATCAAAGATATAAGAGAGAATTAATGAGAAGGGTTACACAAAAGTGAAATAAGATTTCACAAAAGAATTTTAAAAAGTTTTTGAACATTTAATGTGGAATAATTCCTAATAAGGTGTCTTTCCTAGAATCTCTTAATATGGCCGTTTCTATTTTTAGAGGTGGGCGTCTCCAATTCTTATTCTTTTAGGTTTTTCTATTCAATTTGTTTTTTAGAAAAATCAAGAAGAAAACTAGTAGATTTCTCAAAAGTCAAACCATATACATCTTCCTTCTTCTTCCTTGGGCATGTGGATCACTCCTAGAGGAGCCATATTTTTTGTTCTTGAACATAGTGTTATGCCTAATTTTTGGATGGTCAAATTTATACCAAGTGTCCCTAAAGTGCGTCAAGGATAGACAACTGGGATCCACCCATGTGTCATCCCGTTGGCGCTTGGCTTACTTTGCAAGGTAATTACTACCATAAGTATGGGTTAAACTGCCCTTAGCATGGCCCAACCTAACAAAAGAGTGGTGGTTACGGATCCAGATCCTAATTAAATAGATTATACATGCAAGCAACCCCATAATACCCACTCTCAACCACTGTCAGAAGGAACGAGTGTAAAAAGAGCATGTAGCCTCCGTTTCAAGGGACTTTTCCAATACCAACAAAGCTCAAGGGATAAGCACTTTGATCTTTTTAGAGAGAGTTAGAGAGAGCATGTCGTGAGACCATGTAACACCTTGAATTAATAAAATAACAATGGATGTAGGTTTGGTCCTCATGACCGTCAAACCACTATAAAATCTCTCTTGTTATTTGCTTTGTTACGTCGCTTCGACGACCTTGTTGATTATCCATAGTCACGCGCACATCTTACCTGGTCGCCTCCGAGGCCGGCTTGGTATCTGTGTGTTGACCTCTCTTGTGTTTTGATGTGTCAACACTATCCAAAAAGTTGATTGATTACTAACCAAAATATGCTAAGCTATGACACAAGTCATAAACAAACCGAAACAAACTTGTTAGTGTTAGAGTAGATGCCCTAGAGCCAATCAATTATTGTAGAATTGACTCTTTGTAATAATGTTCATTAATCAATAAAAGGCATTTTATTCTATATCTCGTAAATCATTATTATTGCAATATGTATTGATATATGTCCTTAGAATGGTAGAACTGTGATAAGGGTATCAAGTGTTTCAAATCTTGATAGTGAGAACCCTATGAGCACATATGGTGGCCATTCTAGAAACGTCCGTAGCCCCAGTATTATTCTGAAGTAAGGGCACAGATAATACGGTAAGGCTATCATAGTGTTGAACGACCCTGTCGAAAGGCAGTGACTGATCTCACTTGTCAAGGTTGTTTGGTGACAACCTGGTGCAACACATGGGTGCTTGTTGTAGGCGATTACACCACAGCAAGTTCACTGGACTGACCCACCAGAGGATTCCATATGGATGGTAACCCCAGTGTCTATGGAACAAATCCTCTAACGAATGGTGGTGCATGTGATCCTTAGACTTGAGATCACCGGAGCGCCTTGTGCACCGATTGGTGTAGTTTGACACTAGCCTAACGCAGTTCTTTTCAGAGCTGTCAATACGGTGGTGATTGGCTGCATCAAGGAGTGTATCAAGACTATGGTGGATTGACAGAGGATTCATCACTCCCGGGTACGGGAGAAAGTTATCTCACGGCGCAATTCAGTATATGGCAATGACACTAAAACTGTGGCCACAGTGGGATTGAGTTGTTGCTCTATCCAGTTTATAATACGGGTCATTGGTCCAGAAACTGAATAAATAATATCGAGAGTAACCGAAGGTTGACACTATTTCTATGCCTTCGTCTCGTCGAGATAACGTATGATGAAAGGATCGAATTGCACGGTAACCATATCGTTGACAGGTAGCTACTTTGCTGAATCCGAATCTATCGGGTGGCCATGATGCCTTGCTAGGGGCCAATCTTGGTCTGTGTATTAGTGAGACGATTAATTGGTGTTAATCGCAATACTATACACTGCCGATATGATGAGGAGCCTAAGGGTCACACACATAGAAGACAATTTAAGATGCAAGAAGAAAGAAGGGCGTTTTCGTCTTTTAAGGCGAAAGGGTATTTTGGTAATTTCACAGTGCAATTAAATTTGCTGAGGTCGTAGCCTTTATTTAATTTGTTAGAAAAATTAAATAAGTGAAATTACGTTTAAATGTGTGTTCGCACATATTTAAATATATTATCATTATTGTTAAATGTTAATATATATTTAAATATATATATTAATTGATTTTAATTGAGATAATGATGGAAATTAAAATAAATCAAATTGGGAGTGTTTGGCAACATGGGGCGTTTGGGTTGGAGCCCAAGCCTATTCCGTATGGGATTAGGGCAAATTGTTTTTAAGTATAAAAGGAAAAGTGTGTGATTTTTTAATTAAGGGTTTTTTTCTTTTGAAAACCAAAATACACACAGCAGCCCCTCTTTTTGATAACACACTCCCACGGCAGATTGATTAGGCTTTGGAATCAATTTCATTGATTCTTCTTTTCTTCTTAATCTTGAAGCCAAAGAGGATCTAGCAAATACCTCTTTGGTTCTTTTGAGATTGTCTTCGTGTGGACTACGTGGGTTCGATCCTACACTTGGATCGGTAGCAAAACGCTCAAAGACAATCGTGGTGGAGCCTCCAAACGTGCGTATGGTTTCTAAACACAGATTATTAATTTCTGCAGATTCTTGTTTTAATATGAATTGTAAAATTATACCCTTGATCTTGGCTCATGTAAACGATCCTGTTATATTAATTTTTTTGTTTCCACTGCGTATACGGGACCGTTTACTAACAGTCAGGTGGTATGACCATGCATAAGCAAAATTTTAAAAAGGTACGATCGTCCATGATCAAGTCATGCCTATTCGGTAGAAGAAATCTACCTAGATGAACATGCCTTATTGCACGACCTCATTTCTCATGGTTGTTCATCACCCTACCAAAATGTGTGGCACCTGCATGACCATCCTACATGACTGTTCCATTCAAGTCAAAAGTCAAGATTTTCAAATTTAGAATCCTTCGTACTCTTGACTATTTTCCGAAGTCAAATCAAGTCAAAACTCATGTATCAAAAGAGGCACGACCATTCTCTTTGGTGGAATGACTACTTCTATCTAAAGAGTTTGCATATCAAATTTCTAGGAAGTCATGGTTGCTTCTGGAAAATCTTGTGCATTTGGAAGAGCAATTTGGGTAAGGTTGCGTGTAGGAATGACTGTTCGGTTTCTTCGCATGATCATATGACGTGGTGGAATATCCATTCGAGAAACCCTAGATCTGAGAAAATATATCCGTTGTGTCAGGAACGACCGTTCCTCTATGTCTACAGGCTTTATCATAACTGCATTAAATGAAGCAACGACTAACTCTTTTAAGGGATATAAAAACTTAAGATTTTTATGAAAAAGAGAGAGAAGAGTCATATCAAATCAGAGAACATTCTCATATAATCCCTTGAGCTCTAAATCCAAATCACTTACTCTCACTTGTACTCATCTTGTAAATCATTGTGAGAATATTTGTTCTTATTGTGTGTATAAGCCTATAGAGAACAAGCAATCATTCATAAACACTTTGATTATAACCTTAGTGGTGAAATCTTGTAAAACTAGGTGCAATCCAGTAAATCTAAGTGTGTAAGGTGAAAATCCTTGTGAAAACTATTGTATTGGCGCAATTCAATTCTAGTGGAACTTCAGGAGGTTGCCTTGAAGAAGTGGATGTAGGAGGCTTATGGATATAGCTCTGAACCAATATAAATCTCTAAGCATCTCTCTCTCTCTCTCTCTCTCTCTCTCTCTCTCTCTCTCTCGTCATATATATTACTCTTGTTGATACATTCATCATACTTGTTTATTGCTCATAAGTTGATTGCATTTATTGTTGCCCACTTGCATTAACTTCAACTTTATCATTCTTTGGTTGTTGAGTTTATTTATTGATCTTAGATTTGTTTAACTCATCCTTTGCTATTCTTGTATAAGATAGTTTTTATTTTACGATAATTTTTATTGATTCCTATTCCCCCTCCCTCTAGGAATATTGGCCATATTTAAGGTTTAATAATTAGCATCAGAGCTGGGGCTCTTGTGTTGAAAACCTAACGGTTTCAAGAGTTAATCGATCTACATGGCTAGTTCATCTACACCACTGTTTAGTAAGGGTCATTGTACTACTAGACCCCTAATGTTTAGTGGCACAAACTACACACAATGGAGAATTAGAATGAGACTCCACATTAGATCTATAGATAATAACTTGTGGAAAATAGTAGAGCAAGGGAACTTCATTCCCATGAATGACTCAACGGGTCTTCCCAAAGACGAAGAATACTATACTATTAAAGATGAAAAGAAATTAAGGTTAAATGACAAAGCACTTAAGATTTTGTTTTGCTATCTTGATTCTACAGAGTTTGGAAGAGTTTCGACATGTGAAACAACTAAAGATGCTTGGGATATTCTTCAAACCACTCATGAAGGAACTAGTCAAGTAAAGGAATCAAAGATTTAGATGCTATTCCAAGATTATTAGTTGTTCGAGATGATAACCAAAGAAAGCATCACCAAAATTTACAAGAGATTCCCCAACTTGATAAATGATCTCAAAGGTCTTGGAATGAGTTTTCCAACTCTTGAATTTGTAAAGAAGATTCTTCGCTCATTGTCGGAAAGTTGGACAATGAAAGTAACTGCAAGTGAAGAATCCAAAGATCTCACCAAGATGAAAATGGATGAGCTCATTGGTAGCTTATTGACATTTGAGATGAAGAGAAAGTCAGAAGATGAAGATATCACACCAAAGAGGGAGATTGCCCTCAAGACCGTGGATGAAGAAGAAGAAGGTGATGATTCTTCTATGGAAGAAGATAAAATCAACTTCTCAGCAAAAGGGTTCACAAAGTTTCTTGGCAGAAACAAAAGATTCAAAGGAAGACAATTCCAATGGTTCAAACCAAGAAATGAAGATGATAAAGGCAAATCGAAAATAATTTGCCATGGATGTAAAAAGTCCAGCCACATCCGTCAAGATTGTCCTTAAGCCAAATGGAAAAACAAAGACAAGAAGGACAAATTCTACAAGAAAACGGTTCTTGCAGCCACTTGGAGTGGAAGTGATGACTCAAGTGATGAAGATAAGTCAAATGAAGAGCAAGCCAACCTTTGTTTCATGGCCAAGGAAGATGATTTGGAAGGAGACTCCGAATCCAAGGTAAATGAACCCGAACATGTAACGCCCCACTTGAGGTATGTAGTTAAATTATTGTTGCATTGCTTGAACGTTTATTGATTTGTTCTCAATTGAGCTTGCATGTTGTTATTTTTGGTTGGTTGGCCCTTAGTTGAATTTTGTTAAAGTTATTTTGAGAAAAATGTGAAGAAAATCCCTTAAACTTTCATTAGGGGTAAAATGGTCTTTTCAGTCAAAATTAGTTGAAAAAGTGGGGAGTGAAAAGAGATAGAATTTCATGGAGAATGCAATAAAAATGAGGGCATTATTGTAATTGACTAAGGGATATAGATGGAATTTCTAAGAAAGAGCAAGGGCAAAATGGGAATGATTGTGTATAAGTTGAGCTAAAAAGAGTTTAAGTGTTGAAAGCCCTTCATTCTTCACCATCTCCACCGCCATTCTCATTCCCTAATTTCTCTCAATCCTTCACTCAATCTTCCAAGAATTTCTAAGGATTTTTGGGGTAATTTTTAGTAGAGATTTAATCTAAAGCATCCTAAGGTAAGGGTTCTTGCTTTAGATGAGAATTTTCTTATGATTTGTTAAAGTCTTATGTTGTTATTGTTTGTTTAAAGTTGTAGATAGAAGACAAGATACAAAAGGGAAGGAGAAGTGCTAGAGAAGCCAATTACCCATAAGGTAAGTAAATCCAACCCAAGTTGAGATTTGAGAAATCCTTTGGGTAGAGATTGAGTAGAGATTTATGTATGTATAAGTATGTTATGTTATTGAGAATTGAGTTGAGATGAATATTTTCTTTGTGGTTGTTGAATACACTTTAATTATGAGAAGTGTTTGATGTGTGAAGAGAGATTGAAATTGAGTTGAAGTTGGAGGAGTTTGCATGAATATTTTTGGGAGTGTTTTCCTTGGCAGGAATTATGACTATATGAGGGAGTTTTCCTCCCATTTTGGTTGGTTAAGAAGAGAAGAAAAGTTATAGTAAAGTAGAGTTCTTGTAAGCACATTAGTTGCTTGATGAAATGCCTAAGTGAAAACATGTTACCAAACTACCCTGTCACAGCTGTGACCTTATGAGTGATTTTTGGGCATCTCACAGATTGAACTGGGTTTAGACTAAAACATAAAAGTCATAGCCCTGTCTCTAAGCTTTAAAACGGGACAAAAATAGTAGAAATCTAATGTGTATAACTCAAGTTATGCCTTCTTGAGTGTGACCTGCGTAGAATGACTGTCTTTGATGCAACATTGCATTTGTGCTTTTCATAAGTGCATTAATGAGCATGAATCATGCATATGCATTAATTATGCATTAGAGAAAGAGTAGAAAAAGAGTAGAGAACTTTGAGTGTGAGCTTTATTAAGAGAAAATAGAGAAAAAGAGAATAGAGTAGGTTGTGTGATGGGGAACCCATGAGTAATGGGTAGAGTATTCCCGCATGTACGCCGCATTGAGAGAGCGGCATGAGTATGAGAGAGAGAAGTGGTGTAGCCCGTGAGAGTGCATGCGGATGAGGGCTATACCCGAGAGTACACGAGAGAGACATTATATACTCACATGGCCAGGGGTTCCGAATCCATGCATAACCGAGTCCGATCGGCTGAGAACAAGCAGAAGTCACGGAGAGCGAGAGCGAGTCCCGGCCGTGCCCCCGGTAAGATGGGGCCGTGACTTACTAAAGGGAGTTAGCAGAAAAGAGTTCTAAGAAAGAGAAACAGAGAGAGAGAAATAGAAAAAGAAAACAGAGAGAAGTATAAAAGAGAGAGTAAATGAGAATTGTAAGGAAAGACTTAGAGAAAGAGAGTTACGGGGATAGATGACTAGAGGGTTTACTTACTGAGCATTATTTGTGCTCACCTTGTTGTCTTTCTATGTTTTTGCAGGATTTAGGTGAGGAAACGGTCGGATGGACGTCGGCACGCGAGGAGGAATGACTACACTGTCTACATAGTTTTTGTTTATGATACTAATTTTGTATAAAGAATGTATATGTTTAATAAACGAAAAATTTGGGCCCAACTATTTATGTTACTATGCACGTATTTTATTATGTATATTTTTATGAGTATTTGAGTAGGAAGTAGTTATTACAAAACATTACTCTTTTAATGAATTGAAAAGTGCATTTGAATCATTAATGGAAGAATTTGAAAAATTGTCTTCAAAAAATAGAAAGTTGAAAAATCAAGCATGCATGATGAAAGTTGAATATGAACAACTTTTAGGTCATGTTGAAGATCTTAAAAATGAGATTGATTGTGTGTCATGTGACCAAATTTTTATACAAAGAGAATTTGATGATTATAGAATTGTTTGTGATGTTTTGCAAAAAGAAAACATTGATTTGAGAAATGAGCTTGACAACACCAAAGGAATCTTAAGCAAATTCACTTTGGGAAGTAAAAGATTTAATGAAATGCTTGCTTCACAAAGATGTGCTTTCAATAAAGAAGGATTAGGCTATAACATGTTTTCAAATGAGAAACCTTTTAACAAAACACATGAACCATTCATTAAACAAAAGCATCTTTTAGAAAATATGGTTTTTCCAAGTATGTTGGTCATAGCAAACACAAATTTCCTATTAGAAAAGGCAAGCCTTTTGTGGTAAAATTGGTTTGAATTCCTAAAGGAATGGTTGAAATTAACTCCCATGGGCCCAAGACCATTTGGGTACCAAAGAGTACATGAATGTTTTCATTATGTAGGTGTGTCTTGGAGCAATGAAATTTAGAGCAAACAAATGGTTCCTTGATAGCGGATGCTCAAGACATATGACGGGAGACAAGAGCTTGTTCACCTCACTGAAGCCAAAGAATGGAGGAAATGTCACTTTTGCTGACAACTCAAAAGGAAAAATCATTGGCATTGATTCTACTGGTAACAAGTCTCTAACCATAAATGATGTATTACTTGTTGTGGATTGAAGCATAACTTGTTGAGCATTAGTCAATTGAGTGACAAAGGCTTTAAAGCTGTTTTTCAATCTATGTGTTGTGAAGTTGTTAATTCTTGCACAAACAGGATTGCATTCATAGGATATAGATGCTAAAATGTTTACATTGTCGACTTGTGTGACATTGCATCCAAAGATCTTTGTCTTTTGTCCACAAAAGATGAAGATAGTTGGCTTTTGTCTTTTGTCCACATTGCATAGAAGATTAGGTCATGCAAGAATGGATTGTAAGTAATTGATCTACCATACGCAGCGAAAAAACAAAAAAAAATTTAATCCATAAATCAATTACCTTTCTTTGCCTAGATCCGAGTATAGACTATACCGTTTACATGTTTATAAACAAAAATATGTATAAAGTAAATCCATTCAAGGATTAGAATACTTATGTACGTTTGGAGACTCCTTCGAATATCTCTGATTTCGAACATGAATACTATTCACAGGTACTCTTCTTGGGTACTGTTCACAGTTACTATTCACCATCTACTGTTCACGTGATTTTTCACCAATCGATCCAAAGTAGGATCACACTCACGGAAGTCCACATGAAGATAATCCGCAAAACCCTTGATTATTTTGCTAGAATAATCAAGGGCTTCAAGAATCAATAAAGAATAACAAGAAAAATTTTCTACTTGAGAGAGAGAGAGATAGGGTGGCTAGGGTTTTAATTGAATGAATAATTCTACTATGTTTTAATTTTAAGTTGCACTTATATAGTGCAACAATTAAAAGCCTATTCCACTTAGGAATAGTCATGGGCTCCAACCCTAGTTCACTTTTGCAACCAAACACACCCTTTATGGTATTTTAATTAATTAATTATTATTATAATTAAAATATATTAATATATAATAATATATTAACATTCAATTAATAATAATAATTCATTTAAATATATATATATAGATATATTTAAATATAATCTCTCTAATTTAATTTTAATATTAAAATTAAATACATGCAACAACCTCAGCAAATTTAACTGCACTATGAGATGACCAAAATACCCTTTCGTCTTGAAAGATGAAAATACCCTTCTCACAAAATTGATTTTTAAATTATCTTCTAAGTGTGTGACTTGTAAGCTCCTTATCATATCGGCAGTGAGTAGTATCGCGATTAACACTAATTAATCGTCACATTACACACAGACCAAAATTGGCCACTAGCAAGGCATCATGACCACCCGATAGATTCGGATTCAGTGACACTGCAGTCTGTCAACCGTATGGTTACCGTGCAATCAATGTTAGGAAACGACCCGGTTGCGCAGCGGAAAACAAAAATTTTACAACCACGGATCGTTCCTTAAAACCCAAAATCAAGGCACAGATTTTACAGTTTATGCATAATAAGAATCTGCAGAAAAAATATAAATCCAAAGGTTTGAGAAACCATACCCACGTTGGAGGCTCCACCAATGTTGTCTCTGAATGTGTTTGCTACCGATCCAAGTGTAGGATCGAACCGTAGAGGTCCACACGAAGACAATCAACAAGAACCAAGGAGGGATTTGCTAGATCCTCCTTGGCCTTAAGAAATCAAGAAGAAAAACAAAATGTTTGTTTTTCAATGGAACAGTGAAAGGGGCGTGGGAGTGAGTGTAAAAGGGGCTGCTGTGTGTTTTTTATCAAAAGGCAAAATGAATTAATTAATAAATCACACAAACATTATTCCTTTTATAGGCAAACCAAGTTGCCCTATTCCCACATGGAATGGGCTTGGGCTCCAACCCAAACACCCCATGTTGCCAAACACTCCCAATTTGATATTTTAATTTAATTCATCATTATCTTAATTAAAATCAATTAATATTTAATTAACATTTAACAATAATGATGATTTAATTAAATATGTGCGAACACACATTTAACCGTAATTTCACTTATTTAATTTTTAACAAATTAAATAAAAGGCTACGACCTCAGCAAATTTAATTGCACTGTGAAATTACCAAAATACCCTTTCGCCTAAAAAGACGAAAACGCCCTTCTTTCTTCTTGGCTCTTAAATTATCTTCTATGTGTGTGACCCATAGGCTCCTCATCATACCGGTAGTGTATAGTATCGCGATTAACACCAATTAATCGTCTCACTAATACACAGACCAAGATTGGCCCCTAGCAAGGCATCATGGCCACCCGATAGATTCGGATTCAGCAAAGTAGCTACCTGTCAACGATATGGTTACCGTACAATACGATCCTTTCATCATACGTTATCTCGACGAGACGAAGGCATAGAAATAGTGTCAACCTTCGGTTACTCTCGATATTATATATTCAGTTTCTGGACCAATGACCCGTATTATAATCTGGATAGAGCAACAACTCAATCCCACTGTGGCCACAGTTTTAGTGTCATTGCCATATACTGAATTGCGCCGTGAGATAACTTCTCCCGTACCCGGGAGTGATGAATCCTTTGTCAATCCACCATAGTCTTGATACACTCCTTGATATAGCCAATCACCACCGTACTGACAGCTCTGAATAGAACTGCGTTAGGCTAGTGTCAAACTGTACCAATCGGTGCACAAGGCACTCCGGTGATCTCAAGTCTAAGGATCACATGCACCACCATTCGTTAGAGGATTTGTTCCATAGACACTGGGGTTACCATCCATATGGAATCCTCTGGTGGGTCAGTCCAGTGAACTTGCTGCGGTATATCCGCCTACAACAAGCACCCATGTGTTGCACCAGGTTGTCACCAAACAACCTTGACAAGTGAGATCAGTCACTGCCTTTCGACAGGGTCGTTCAACACTATGATAGCCTTACCGTATTATCTGTGCCCTTACTTCAGAATAATACTGGGGCTACGGACGTTTCTAGAATGGCTACCATATGTGCTCATAGGGTTCTCACTATCAAGATTTGAAACACTTGATACCCTCGTCACGGTTCTACCATTCTAAGGACATATATCAATACATATTGCAATAATAATGATTTACGCGATATAGAATAAAATGCCTTTTATTATTGATTAATGAACATTATTACAAAGAGTCAATTCTACAATAATTGATTGGCTCTAGGGCATCTACTCTAACAATCAAATCCTTTCATCAACTGTTATCTCATCAAGACTGAGGTACATAAATAGTGTCAACCTCAAATATCCTCAACATGTTTTATTCAGTTACTAGACCAATGACAAGAATATTAAATTGGATTAAGCATCAACTCAATCCCACTGTGGCCATAGATTTAGTGTCATTGTCATTTACTAAATTGCCTAGTGAGATAACTTCTCCCGTACCCAAGAGTGATGAATCCTTTGTCAATCCACCATAGTCTTGATACACTTCTCAATGTAGCCAATCACTATAGTATTGATAGCCTTGAATAGAACAACAATGGGCTAGTGTCAAACTACACCAATTGGTGCACAAGGCGCTCCGATGATCTCAAGTCTAAGGATCACATGCACCACCATCCATTAGAGGATTTATTCCATAGACATTGGGGTTACCATCCATATGGCTTTTGGTGGGTCTGTCCAGTGAACTTGCCTCTAGCAAGCACCTATGCGTTGCACCAGGTTGTTGGCAAACAACCTTGACAAGTGAGATCAGTCACTGCCTTTTGACAAGGTCGTTCAACACTATGATAGCCTTATCGTATTATCTGTGTCCTTGGTCAGAATAATACTGGGGCCACAGACGTTTCTAGAATGGCCACCATATGTGATCATAGGGTTCTCACTATCAAGATTTGAAACACTTGATACCCTCATCATGGTTCTACCATCCTAAGGACATATATCATTACATACACGATATAGAAAAAAGTGCCTTTTATTGATAAATAAACATTTATTATAGAGTCAATTTTACAGTAATTGATTGGCTCTATGGCACCTACTCTAACATGGATGTCATTGCAAAGCTTTCTAAAAAGGATTTAGTGCATGGTTTGCCTAAGCTTGTTTTCAAAAGAGATCATATTTGTGATGCATGTGCAAAAGGCAAACAAACAAGAGCTTGTTTTAAATCCAAGAATGTTGTTTCAACCTCTCAACCTTTACAATTGTTGCATATGGATTTGTGTGGTCCCACAATGACAATTAGTCTAGGAGGTAAGCATTATTGTTTTGTGATTGTCGATGATTACTCATGTTTTACATGGGTATTGTTTCTTGCACACAAACATGATGCATTCAAATCATGCTTGCCATTGATTAGGAAATTGCAAAACCTATTAGGCTATACAATTACATGCATTAGAAGTGATCATGGAAAAGAATTTGAAAACATATTGTTTGAATCATGTTGCAATAAGCATGGCATTGAGCATAATTTTTCGACACCTAGGACTCCTTAACAGAATGGAGTTGTTGAGAGGAGAAATAGAGTTTTTATAGAGATGACTAAGACCATGTTATGTGAGCATGACATACCAAGATATTTTTGGGCCAAAGCAGTTAATACTTCATGCTATATCATCAATTGAGCTATGATTAGGCCAATCCTCAAGAAAACTCCCTATAAGTTATTCAAAGGGAAAAAGCCAAATATTGCATATTTTCATCCCTGTGGTTGCAAATGTTTTGTACTTAATAATGGCAAGGACAACCTTGGAAAATTCAAAGCCAAATAGGATGAAGCAACTTTCCTTGGTTATTCTTCACATTAAAAGCGTATAAAATCTTCAACAAAAGAACTCTTTTAGTTGAAGAATCTATACATGTGTTATTTGATGAATCTTTTTCTAAGAATGCAGGAAATAATAATGAAGAAAAGATTGAAGAGATGATGAAAGAACTAGAGATCAATGATCAAGCATCACCATCAAATTGGAACAAAGAAGAAGAACATCAAGAAGAGGTTAAAAATGAAGATAACACCTTCATGGAACCTCAAAGAACAACAAGGGAGATTTCATTTCCAAGAGTAAGAGATGAAGTGAAAGACACACAAATCATTAGAGATCTGTAATACCCAAGATGTCAAAGGTA